TGTAAAGAGGAACATAAAAGCCACTTGTCAAAACTGCCTCCTAAATTAATTAAGGCCACATATGCAGACTATGTACTAAGTTAAGAGAAGCTAGCTAGATCCCAGTAAAGGTCTTCTGTCTGCAATCTACAGATAAGCACCAGACATGAGTGGTAAAATTAGGGAAATATTATGTTAATGAGGCAACCCTAAGGTGGCATTGATAACTTTGAGATGACATTGATATGCTAATGAATGACTCTTAAGGTGGTACAAATAAGACTCAGGCCATTTCCCTCCTCACTAGAACTGTATAAAAATGGGACCCCCAAACCCTGCCCCTTGAGCACTTTTCCACTGCTACAGGTCCATGCTGCCTGAATGCTCCTAGCTCCAATCCACAGTTATATAAGTGATTCTCTGTTCCTTTCCCTCCTCCTCTTTTTCCCTGCTGTCCTTCTTCAACCCCCATTCCCTTGCCATCCCCACACAGTCTGCCTCTGAACTCTCTGTACCTTATGAAAGTGTGATTGATGAATTATTACCCACTTGCTTCCAGTTTGATCTTTTCTGGTGCATGTGCAAAGATCTGCGTTTGTTCACCCTGACCCAACTGGGACTCCATTATGGCCTTTTCTTTTAAGGCATAAGCTGGATATCCAGGCTTGGTAGGCATGGTGCTGAGTAGAAAGCAAGGGCTGATAAAGGAACTGGCCCTACTTTGGATAGAGACCTCCTCTGAGGTTGGGGTTAAAAGAATACCTGAGGAGATTTGGATGAGCTGCTTCTGAGAGGAAAAAAAAGTCTAATTCCTCTTCCATTTGATAAACTTTTGAAGGCAGTGTCTCCTAAGTTTACCTCCGTAGGCTAAACATCTCCTTTCAAGAAACCCTTATAGGGTATGATTTTTAAAATTCCCTCATCAGTTTACCCTCCTTTACATAATCATAGACTCTATAGAAGGAAGTTAGATTAGAGTTCATCTAGTCTAACTTTCTCATTTTACAGATGAAGAAACTGAGGCTCAGAGAGGTTAAACAAGTTGCCCAAGTTTACAGAGATAAGAGCTATCAAGGCTGAAACTCAAACCCAAGCGCTATGTTGAAGTCTTACCCTACAGAATATAGCAAGACTATGTCCCCAGAACTCAGAGCTTCTCATTAAACAACTACACAGAAAGCTATCGAATCAGAATAACTGCCCAGAATGTGCCCTTTTGGATACTAGGGCCCTCTGCTAAAAACCTGAGTCTCCTCCATCTCCTGGTCACTAATAAAGTTAATTAGCAGACATTTGTTGAGTTCCTGCTGTATCCGAGATACTATACAAGGCTGGTTCTTGCCTTGAAGAAACTTACCATCTTTTCAAAGTTCAATATAATTGAACCATATTCAGCACTGGTGATAGATAGACAGGTGAGAAAACTGAAACATAGAGTTTAAATAATTTGCCCACAGGCACACAACCATTATGTCTGAGAGAGGGTTTGAACCCAGGTCTTTCTGACTCCAAGTCTCATACTCTATCCACTGTACTACCTAGCTGTCTCTAGGAAATAGAAGAAACAGGATTTGCATTCTGGTCTTTTGGATCCCAAATCCAATGCCCTTTTATCTAAGAGAGAGACCTCTATCTATAGATATATGTATATCTGTGATATCTGATGCTATATGCATGTTATAATATGCTATTAATGCATTACTTTATTTAATATATAATATATAGATATATTTTATACAAGGCTGGTTTCTACTTACAGGCATTTCTAGTCTTGTACTATAATTCAACCCTGTTAGGCACTAATGACATAGACAGAGACAAATGTTTAACATGTGGTGCTGGTGGGATATTCAAATGTAGATCTCTAGAGAGCAATTGAAATATGAGATTAAAATTCTTCAGGAGAGTTGGGAGTAATAATAGGTATTTGAGAATCGTCTACATATTGGTCATTGCATTCATGAAAATGGACAAGCTTGCCGTTGAAAAGAATGTTAGAGAAGAGAGGAGGGCCACGTCCAGAACTTTGGAAGATACCCATATTTAAGGGTCAGGGAAAGATGAGAAATCCCAAAAGGAGTAGTCAGAGAGAGAGGAAGTGAACTGTGAGAGTGAAAAGTCTGAGAAGCCAAGGGAGCAGAGAGGGAATCAAGAAGGAAGAAGGAGTTCCAGTTATCAGATGCAGCTTGGGAGTCTAGGGAGATGAAGATTTAAGAAACGTTATTAGATTTAGTGTGGGGCGGGGGAGAGGAACTCTTTAGTGATTTTAGAAAGAGTGCTTTAGAAAAGGCGTTAGTACCTAAGCAAGGGTTTGAGCAAGTACCTGGTGAGAAGTAGAAATAGCAAGTACAGAGTACTGGTATTTGACTTATAGAGTCTCAGATTTGGAAGGAGCCTCAGAGGTCACCTAGTCTAACCCAGACCTGAATAAGAACCTGCTCGACAACATATCCCAAAACTGGTTATCCAGCTTTCTCTTGAAGGCCTCCAATGAGGGGGAACCACTACCTCCCAATGTCGTCAATTCCAGTTTTGGATAGTGCTAATTGTTAGGAAAGTTTTGCTTACATTGAGCTGATTGATATCTGCCTCTCTGCAAGCTCCATCCATCGCTCCTGGTTCTGATCTCTGGAGCCAAGGAGAACAAATCTCTACCCACTTACGTGGGACAAATATTTGAAGACAGCTCTCATTGCCTTCAAAGCCTGCTTTTTTCAAGCTCAACATTCCCCTTTCCATCAGTGTTCATTGTATGGCATGAACTTAGGGGCATTGACATATTGGTTGCTTTCCTTTGGACAGTCTATATCATATTGATGCCTTTCTTAAAATCCAGATCTGGACACAGCACTTATAAAATGATCTGACCAGGTCAGACCAAAAAGTGTGTGAGTGAGTGAGAAGAAGAGAGGGGGGAAGTGTGTGTGTGTGTGTGTGTGTGTGTGTGTGTGTGTGTGTGTGTGTGTGTAAGAGAGACAGAGATAGAGACAGAGACACACAGATACAGAAGAGAATCTATATTCTTCCTAAGGCACAAATCCAAGGTGTTAGAGAAATTCCTGAGATTCATCAAACTAGGTGACTACTAGTTTTTCTTATGATTCATGTGGACACAAATTGCACTATTAGAAGGAATACAGAAAGTATTGTTAGATAAAGTCTTGGGTGAGAAACTAGAGCACTGGGGCATAGGTGGTGCTTTCATTGCTGCTGACAATTAAAGGTAAAGGGTTCAAAATAGAAAGGCTGACTTGGAAAGTGAAGGGCCGATTAAGAAGACAATACCTAAGAATAAGATGTGGATTTTTGGATCATAGCTTAACACATAGGAATAACAGGTTCCTGGCAATCTATATAGTACCTCTAACAAGAGCTGATCAGAATGGAGCCTGTTGTTTGTTGACGTTTAGTCGCTCAGTTGTGTCCAACTCTGTGACCCCATGCATCACAGCATGCTAGGCCCTTCTCTCAAAGTCTGTGTAAGTCCCTCTTCATTTTTTCCATGAAACTCTCTATCCATCTCATCTTTTGCCATCCCCTTCTCCTTTTGCCTTCAATCTTTCCCTATATCAGGTTTTCCAGTGGGTCATGTTTTCTCATTATGTGATTAAAGCTTCAGTCAGCTTCAGTATTTGACCTTCCAGTGAATGGCCTGAATTAATTTATTTAAACATTGACCAATTTGATCTCCTTGCTGCCCAAGGGATTCTCAAAAGTCTTCTCCAGCACCACGATTTGAAAGTGTCAATTGTACAGGACTCAGCTTTCCTTAATAGTCCAACTCTTACAGTCATACACTGTTACTGGAAAAACCATAGCTTTGAGTATTCGAACTTTGCTGGCAAGGTGATGTCCCTGCTTTTTAGTAGGTTGTCCAGATTTGCCATAGCTTTCCTTCCAAGGAGCAAGCGTCTTTTATTTTCATGGCTGCAGTCACCATTTGCAGTGATTTCTGAGCCCAAGAATATAAAATCTGACACTGCTTCCATTTCTTTTCCCTCGATTTGCCAGGAAGTGATGGGACCAGTTGTGAAGATCTTTTTTTTTTCTGTAAGCTTCAAGCCAACTTTGATACTATCTGCTTTGACCCTCACCAAGAGGCTTCTTAATTCTTCTTCACTTTCTGCCACCAGAGTGGTATTATCTATATACTTGAAATTGTGGATATTTCTCCTGGCAACTTTAATTCCAGCTTTTGGTTCATCTACGTTGTTGGCATTTCGCATGATGCACTCTGCATATAAGCTAGTTGTAGTTGTCCTCCACTTTTCCCAGTAGCATATTGGACACTTTTCATTTTCCATTGTTATCTCTTTTATCATTTTAGTACTGTACACAGGGTTTTCTTGGCAAAGATATTGGAGTGGATTGCCATTTCCTTCTTAGGTGGGTCACCTTTTATTAGCACTCTCTACTAAGACCTGTCCATATTGGGTAACACTGAACATCATAGCTCATAGCTTCATTGAGCTATGCAAGTCCCTCCACCACAACAAGGTGGTGAATGTAGCCTAGAATCCTGCAAATTTAATCAGAAGGTCTTTACACTGAAAGGAAAAGGGAAAGGAGAAAACTGATTATATAGAGCCAGCCAGCAAACTACATAGCATAGTGGGTAGCTACAATAAAGGAAGAGTGGCAGTTGAAGCCTGCAGAAGATTGCAGGAGACAAAATCTAAGAAAGAAGCTAAGAGATGTGGTGCTGGAAATCTATATATAAGCATATAATGTTTGGATAGTGAGCAAGATAAACTAAAGATCCTAATGCATACATTCAAATTTGACCTCACAGGTACTACTGAGACAGTGCAATGAGTCATATGACTGGAATCTGGCTTTGGAAATAAAGATCTTTATTCAAAAGAATCAGGGTAGGTAACAGGGCTCAGAGGTAGTAGAAGTATAGCATTTTATACTATTATGTACTTGTATGGAGAAATTGAATAATAAGGAGGGAGGGGCATTTAAATAAAGATCATTGCAGTCAGAAAGATAAGGGTTTTTTTTTTGTTTGTTTTCAGTCTGTACTTTAGACCAACTGGACAGAAAGGAGATAGAAGAGGAGTTTGGGAAACAGATCACAAACCTGGTTCAGAGGTATGATACAGTAATCATGGAAGCTTCGTGGGGGCAGGGACGGTTTCACTTTTGTCTTTGTATTAGCAGTGTTTAGCATAGTGCCAGGCATGTGGTAGGCTCTTAATAAATGTTGCTTTTTACAGATGAAGAAATTGAGGTCTGCAGATGTTAAATATGCATGCTCAAGGTCTTAAGGTGTCAGAGGTACAGTTGAAACTCTGGTCCCTCATGGCAACACAGAATATTCAAAACAATGGACCTATTAGAAACTATTAATGAGACATTCAGGCTTTGAGAATCTTAACTTGAATCTTTGGAAAGGTAACAAGTAAGGCAAAGGAATAAAAGTAGTTTGGAGTAGTCAGAGAGGAAGATTTGGAAGAACCTTAGGAAATTCTCTGAGTTTGGGTAGGGCATGTTTGGCACTTGAGTATTTATGCATATGGACCAACCATGTACAATTAAGTCAGGTTAGGTCTTGTTTAGCCAGGGAGTCTAAGGTGCTAGAGATGATTGGCTGTTCACACTTTGCCTTGTCTGCAGGGTGTTTCAATATGGTCACGGAGGCGAATATCAAGGACCCACTGTGTTTTGTTTCCCTTAACTACAATCCATAAGAGAAGTTTGAGTGAATATCTGTTTGACAAGCAGCTGCATGTGAAGAATGAATTAATTCTATTCTCCCTTAAGCATTCCTTTTAAGGGTTTTCAAGTATCCCAAATCTTTTAATAATACTAACTGGTGTCAAATCTTATGGCGGAAGAGAGATGAGAACTTTTCTTTTTTTAGCTTTGGACAAATTAGAAGAATTTAGAGAAGAACCATAAAGATGATAAAGGGCCGGAGGGCTTGACTGAGAGATTTAAGCCGTTAGTTAGGCTTCAGTTGTAGGAGGGGTAAAGGGCAAAACTTTGAAAAGATTATCAACAGTGTGGAGAAGGGAAGAGGAGCTGTTTCAAAATTATCCAGAGAAGGAGGGCTAGGAACATGGGAAAGATGTTTAATGATTTTTTTTAATATTGCCTGATATATCTAAAGATATTCAGACATCTAGGTCTGTGGAGGAAAGATTGGAAGGAGTCAGTTGGAAGGGCTTGAAGGAAACTGTATTAATCTTCATGCAAATCCTATGCAACCTAGCACTAAGTGCTAGTATTGACCTATATAATTATCAAGTAATTCTAATGGGTGTGTGGGGGTGGGAGAGTGTGTGGGTGTGTATAGTGGAAGATTATTTCATTTTCTTCTATGATACATACCTAGTTCTGACAGTATACCTGCCCTCTTCCTCAGTAATACTGTAACAATATTTAGCATCTTAGATCTGAGAGGGGAACCTTATAGATAATCTAATCAAAGGCTGCTAGGTGATGCAGTGGGTAGAACATATGGCCTGGAATCAGGAAGACTCATCTTCCTGAGTTCAAATCTGATCTGAGACACTTACTAGCTATGTGACCCTAGGCAAGTCACTTAATCCTATTTGCCTCAGTTCCTCATCTGTAAAATGAGCTGGAAAAGGAAATGGCAGACCACTTTAGTATCTTTGCCAAGAAAACCCCCAAAAGAGTAGGACAGGACTGAAAAAACAACAACTGAATAATAAAATCTTACCAATTCCCTCATTTTATGCTGTAGATGATGTAACAGGTGACAGGTAACATGTTTTAGAAGATAGGCTAGCCAGGAAGACCTAGGTTCAAGTCTTATTTCTGACATCTTGGTTTTGTGACCCTGATCTGATCATGTCACCCTCTTAATGCTTCAAGTTAACTCTTTTAAGACTATAAATTGCAGAGCAGATGTTTTCCTGGATTGGTAAAGAAAGCTTCTTCCCTAGGACTCCCTAAAACCAATGACACAGGTCTGGTCAGGAAAAAAAAATGAAATCAAAGGTGTCCTTTAGTTTTCAAAGGAAAAGGAACCGGAGGGTCTTGCTTGGTTCTTTTGCTCCTTGAGAAGAAGGCCTGATGAGTCAGTGTGCCTAACCCCCATGGGAGACTAGAGTGAGATTGTAAGAAGCACTTACTGCCCTTTGAATGCTTACAGTCTATTTATAGTAATCCTATGGAGCAGTTAGACAAAATGGTACGTTATGAAGGCCTGAGTGCTTTAGTGTCCATTAAACAGAGTCTGGTTTGTCCATTTTGTTTTATTTTAGAAAACTAGAACTTTGAGAACCAGAAACTCTCCCACTTTGAGACTCAGAAACTCTCGTGTGTAAACTCTGGGTATATGTGGGGAAAGTAGGTTTCAGTGATTTTCTTCCTTTGATTCTCATTAAGATCAAATTACATTTTGGCTTGAGGCAAACATTCACTGGAAAATATGACTTTAACAACAGAGCCCACTGATTTAGTGGTATAGCACTGCAATTTCTAGCTTAAAAAATCATCCATTCCTTTCTTTCTTGCTTAGAAAACACTTTGTGCCTACCAAATCAGCAGGGGATGGAAGCTCATTCTGCCCTCTGGTAATGGGAATTGAATAAATTCAAGTACTATCTTATCTAAATGGTTTGACAAGTTCCCATTTGCCAGGCTAATTACATCAGTCTGTTCTCTCTCTCTCTGAGCTCCCTCCACCTCCCAACATTGGGGACTTGGCAGGTGTTAGCATTCCTATGCTGCTGTAATACACAGTTGAACTATGAAGTCTATTACTGTAGCCTGGGCGAAGCCAAGAGAGGGACTTATTTGCTGACCTAGGGGGTCCTCAGAGCTGTGTTGCTTCTAATAAAATAAGAGAAGTTTCCACATTTATTTCTAAGTAAATTCCTGCTAAGGAGTAACAAGGCTAGTGCAATTTTATCAAGGGAGATCCAAATAAGAGCTTGCAGCTAGAAGTGTTGGGAATTGGAGAGGAGTTTCTTCCATTATCTTTGCATGTCTCCTGTTAGATGCCCTCTCTTTTCAGCACACTACTTCAGTATTTCCACTCTCCAAATATAGAGACACCCTTTATAAACTTGGTTATCAAGGGGACTTTAATCCTTGCATATCTGAATACTTGCAATACTGAGGTAAGTAAGCATAAGAGTCTCAAGAATTGATGTATCTAAAGATACTGAGACATCTGAGTCTGTGGAGGAAATGTTGGAAGGAGTCAACTGGAGGGGTTGGAAGGAAACTGTATCAATCCTCTTGCAAAACCTCTACAACCTAGCACTTGGCTATATGTATTGACATAGAATTTGCAAGTATTCTTGAGTGAGTGAGTGTGTGTGTGTGTGTGTGTGTATGTGTGTGTGTAGTGGTGGATTGTTTAACTTTGTTCTATCATACATACCTAATTCTGACAGTATACCAGTCCTCTACCCCAGTAATACTACAACAGAGTTTATTTAGCATCTCAGATTAGAGAGATGAACTTTAGAGATCATCTAATCTAATTAAGTTTTAAGTAAAGGGAAATGAAAAAAAAAGTAACCATCTTTTTGAGAATGACTGTCTTGAAGCATCAGAGAAAATCCTGAAATGACAAACCACTTTCCACACAGTTTGTTTACCTGAACAGCAAATGTAATGTTGGGGAGGGGAGGGAAGAGGTAGGGTTAAAAACATTAAAGTGTTTGAGCCCCTGTTGGTAATGACAGTGATGAGGAAGAGAATGCAGGCATCTGACTGTGATTCATGTATCCCTATGCCTCCAGGATCAAATACAAAATCCCATGTTTGGCTTTTACAGCTCACAAAGTGGCCCCTTCTTATCTTTCTAGTCTTCTTATGTTTTACTTCTCCTCACATACTCTACAATCCAATGACCCTGGCCTTCTTGGTCCTTGCCCAAGACTCGCCCATCGGCCCTTTAACTGTACCCCATGCCTGAAATGCTGTCCCTCCTCACTTCTGTGTCCTGGCTACCCTGGCTTCCTTCAAAATGGCTCAGATCCCATTTTCTGCAGGAACTTCAAATCCATGATTAAAGAAAGGCCAGTATTTTGGAAACAGCATGGTGAAAGGGCACAGAATGGAACACTCAATTTAGAATGAGAGAATCTGGGTTCAAACACCACCTCTGCCACTTATTACCTGTGTAGCCTTGGGCAGCTCCCCTACCTTCACTAGGCTTCATTTTCCTCATCTGTAAAGATGGAGACGTTGGCCTAGATGATGTATCTGTCATCATCCCATGTGGATAAGCTGGTCTCAAGTTATTTGTTATTGTTGTTCTCCTCCTCCTTATGCTCTTTTTCCTGTTTCTCCTTTCCTTTTGTGGATTCTCAGTATAGTTTACCCAGACCAAAATTAATACTTTTTGGTGCTCTTTTTTTTTTCTTTTCCTCAACATTTTTATTTACCATTTTGAGTTCCAAATTCTATCTTTCCCTCCCTTTCCTCTTTCCCTGAGACAGTAAGCAATCAGATATAGGTTATACATGTGCAATTATGTAAAACATTTCCATATTGGTCATTTTGTACAAGAAGATTCAAATAAAAGAAAAAAATGAAAGAAGAAAAATAACATGCTTCAGTCTTTATTCAATCAATATCAGTTCTTTCTCTGGAGGCAACTAGTATACTTTATCATTAATCCTTTGGGATTGTCTTGGGTCATTGTATCACTGAGAATAGTTAATTCTTCGCTGAACAATATTGCTGTTACTGTGTGCAATGTTCTCCTGGATCTATTCACTTCACTATGCATCAGTTCATGAAAGTCTTTCCAGGTTTTTCTGAAATCATCCTACTTGTCATTTCTTATAGCATAATAATAATCCATTGCAATCATTGATGTGGTACTCTCTTTAGAGTGTAGTTTAAGATCTGAAAACTTTAAAAAATCTGAGTGATGCCTAAATCTTCTCTCTCCAGATTGGGAAGAATTCCTTCTTGTCTTTGTAAGGGAAATTTATATTATTCCTGTCCTGTTAGAGAACTAGCCACAGATTCTGGTAATGCCATACCTTTCTGGCACAGAATTATTTAAGTAATAAAGTAACTTTGGAAAGTGGAGAAGTGCCATATGATGGAAGCTTCCTCTAGTTAATAGCTAATGAGATCTTGTGGAAGTCATT